CAAATCATTCCTACTTGTCGTCGTGTAGTCTATGCTTCCGTTCTTACTGCCTCTCCTGGTATTCAAGAACCCGTCTACCTTGTTGAAATCCAATGTCCTGATTCTGCTATCGGTGGTATCTACTCTTGTCTCAACAAGCGTCGTGGTCAAGTCTTCTCTGAAGAACAAAAGCCTGGTACTCCTATTGTCAACGTCAAGGCCTACTTGCCCATTAACGAATCTTTCGGTTTCAACGCTGATCTTCGTTCCGCCACCTCTGGTCAAGCCTTCCCTCAAGCTGTCTTTGATCACTGGCAACTCATGTCCGGTAACCCCTTGGAAGCCGGTAACAAGGTCTACGATATCGTCCGTGATGTCCGTACCAGAAAGGGTCTTACTCCTGATATTCCTGGTCTTGACAAGTACTATGACAAGCTTTAAATCAGTTATCTTGTCATTGTGTATTTTTAAAGGGGTTTACATATATTCAAGATTTTGCTTTTATTTAAACCATTTGTATTAAAGAAAAAGATATATAAAAATATATATAAAGTTTACATAAATTGTTGGCACAAGATCAATAACAGCTACTCTTTAGTTGATTTTCTATGTCCCTCTTTATTATTAAAAACACAACATGCAATAATATGTAAAAATAATAGTTTAATGACTTGCCAGATCAGTCGCTTTTGCCAAAACCTTGTCTCGAACATGTTTTGGTACCTGACTCCATTGGTGAGCCCAAGCCAAGCGTTTACTCTGTTCCCATTCGGTTTCGGCTCGCTTCCGTTTCTTAAGACTTTGCTCCTCCATGATCGAGAGGACCTTCGAACCAGCCATTTTTTCCAGTGAGTCTACTTGACGCATCGACTTGACAAACTGATAAGCGAGCACGCGTTTCTTTGTGGAGATGTAGAGGTACTTGCCGTCGTGCGACCATTGAATACCGTTTATCTTGGCGAGGATTCTCAACCGCCTGTTCTTTTCGCCACGAAAGGATACCATGGTGATCTCTTGTCTTGCCACAAGATCGGCTGTGTGGTAGATGGGATCGTCGAATGGGACGCAAGAGGGCGTACAGACGTGGCCGGGCGAGGTAGTCGATGGACGATCAAAATGGTGAATAGAGACGATCTGGTTCGGATTGTATATCGAGACAGCCTCTGTCAGGTCAACGGTGTGAAGGTACCCATATCGGTTCGAGAACGCAAGAACGCCTTCGTGTTCGGGATGAAATTGAATGGCGTACGTGTAACCTCCGGCGTCAATGCGGTAGAGCATCTCCAGTTTAGGCTGTGTGCGCCAGACGAGTACAAAGCTGTGGGTGTCGGAGGTATGGGCAAAATAGAGTGATGACTTACTCCAGGCGAGATGCTGAGAGGAATAGGGTGAATGCGACAGGCAGAGGACGTTGTCTGGAATGAGAATACGTTTTGGAGTCGTCACGGTCAGTTGATCATGGTTGTTGTAGGCTAGTGTGAGGTAAAAGATGCATGCATCATCACCCACACAGATCAAGTACTCATTGTTCGGACTCAGCCTGGCGTCGTTGATCGGAACACGGTCAAAGGAGCGGATGTGGTGTAGGAGAGTGACAGTGGACGGTGATAATGGATGGCAGTCGCTGTGTTTAGGGAGTTCATAAATGAGTACACCGGCGTCATTCATGCAGGCAATAAGCAGGTGTTTATGCTCCTTTTGCTTTTTGAATCGCACAATCTGAATAGCGTTTGTCATGAGCATGACATTATTCTTTCCTTTGAACTTGGTTCCCCATATCTTGATTGGTTGATCTTCCATGCAGCAGTATATTTCGAATTCACCTTCTAAACCTCCTATAGCCATATAACCATACTTTTCTGCTAAACAGAGAGGTTCAAATGATAAAGGGAGATAAGCATCCTTGGGATAGGCGATGGAAAACTGAGAGCGTTTGATATATTTAGTATATGGAACAAATTTTGATAGTAAAGGAGTGCTATTGTTGTTGTTATTATTATTGTTATTGTTATTATTATCTACAGGATATGAATGTTTAGTATTTTGCTGAGCCAAAGTGTCTTCCTGTGGAGGTAATGATACGGAGGCATGAGTTTCATAAAAGATGGATGAAGAAGATGATGCTTGAGTGATAGATGAAGATGATTTACAATGAGAAGATGAAGAAGAAGAAGAAGAATGGTTATCCTCTTGACTTTCAAGCCAAGTAGTATTGACTGAATCCGATTGTTTTGTCGAATGATGTGATGAAGGATGACCCAGAGGCGTCCCACATTCAATGATCCTGTCACGATAGATAGCATGTAATTTTTCGGTGGTACCATAATCTGATAAGGTTAAGCATAGAGAACTAGCTGATTGATCATGATTTGTAGTTGAAGAAGAATAAGGTAACTGTCTTGGCCAACCTCTCTCCTTTGTATAAAAACTAGACTTTTTCCAAGGCGTCGTGATCGCATCAAGCTCTTTTTTTCTTGATTTGATAAAACTGGTTAATTTCATATCATTGGATTCCCAGGTGAAATCATTTGTACTGTAAGGATCTTCATCCCACATATCGAAGCCATTATGACAAGGTGAATCAGATAATTCAGAGCAGACTGAGTCAGCGTCTTGATCATTTCTATAAATTGGTTGTCTTGGTCCAATATATTCATAATCGAGTGAGTAGTCTGATTCTGTATCGTCTTCAATTTGGGATAGCCAATCATGATCATTGCTGATATTCAGCATATTCTAAACATGAACAGGGGAATTGAAGAGAAATTAAAAAGAAAGAAGAAGAAGAAGAAGAAAAGAGAGTTTTAATTTGAAAATGAACTAAGAAAAAGGGAAACAAAATAGAAAAAAAGAAAAAAAAAGTTCTTAATTCTCTTTGTTTAATTTTTTATATCTCAGCCCCTTTATTTCCAACTGTTTTTGCTACTGTTGTTGTTGTTGTTGTTGTTAATGCTAAAGTGTAGAGTGGTTAAGCATAAATGAATATACAAGATGGATTTCAGGCACAACCATTAAAAAAATATAAAAAAAAAGTATATAAATATAGAACGAGTTTATTTCCCCGGTTTATGTTTAAAATAAACAACACTCATCGTAACCCAATTCTTGGAATTCATCATTACTTAAACAGTAATATGCTGATCATATAAATATAAAGAATTTTTATCGCACCATTTCTTAAGAATTCTATATCTCAACCTTTTATAATCAAAATACTTCTTGATTAATAACAATGTCTTACTTTGTGATCAGTCGTACATTTTATCTTTTTTGCCACTACTTTTATACAACGGAAATAAAAATGAAACCGCTTTCTCCTTTTTTAAGAGTCTATTCGATCATCTGAACTATTGTTATTACTTTATGTACAACATGGCTTATATGAGTATATATCTTTAAACTTCATTTCTTGAAGGAAAAAAGATGACTTTTATATCAACATACAATGGGAGAGTCGTGCTGTCATTTATGATTATCCTTTTTTTTTTTTTTTCTACGTCATTGATCGACTGTAGCATTCATTTACAGACTCAAATTGTATGAATACAGCTTATTCATCATACGTAAAGAGAAAGAGAGACCCATGCCCCGTCATGTAAAAGAAAAGAAAAGAACATTCCTCATCTGTAATAGTCTGTTCTTAAATGTTTATCATGTCACATTAGCAAGTAACAAGTGATATATAAATATATACACTTTATATTATGAAAATACACTAGCCGAGGACTCTTTAGAAGTTATTGTGAGACAAATTCTTTAAATGAGATTTTTTTTTTAAAAAAAAGCATTAGAGAGACTATTTCTTGACTTTGTGGGAAACCATTATAAAGATGTAGAGATTGTAATTAATATCTCAAATGAGACTTATTAGTGAAAATTGACCTATAAATACTTCCAAGGTTACTTTATACTTCAAGAAAACGACAAAAGCAAAGAGATTGGTCACAAAACACGCCATTGTCATGATCAGTCCCTTACTGAAGATGATTAATGCACGTAATAATCCTGTTTGCATATAAAATGTCGATGCTGTGTTATAACGCTCTTTTCTTTCACTTTTAATCCATAATAAAGTGATTAGACATATATCTGTATTTTTCTTTATTATTTGGGACATATCATAACGTTTGTCCAGATGTGCTAGTTTTTAGCAAGAAACATTACCCTGACACAGTATTACTTTATATTTATAACAAAAGCAACCACCACCAACTATGACCAAAGCATTTCGAAACGGCGTCGTTGGCAGCTTGGAAGCTCAAGATAAACTTGTACAACTGCCGAAAACTGAAAGATTACATCATTGGTTCATATGAAAAATACCGACCATTGCATTCAATATGCTTTGGTAAAGTGAAAGTAGATAATGCTCAAAAGGCATGGGCAACATTAAACTTTTAATCGACTGGTGATATTTTGTACAAGAATGCAATTGAAAAGTACGATTTGAATGGGGCGCTTTGTTTCCTTACTGCTGACATGTTCTTGTGGAAGTGGCATCTACAGGGTTTTAACCTAAAGTGAGATAGTTATAAAAATATTAACAAAATGATTGACAATAACGTCTATAGCTTAAGAACAGCTATTACAAAAAAAGAAAGAAGCCTTCTATTACTTATAATTAATGCATAGACTAAATTGTTCACAAAGATGGTTCAGTTATATATCTGACATTGTGCTTCAAGCTAGCTTATTATTTAAGTTATATTTCAAAATGATTTTTGATTGGCCCAAAAGTTACATTCAACTTGTCTCGTTTTTAGCTTAAAAAATTATAGATGTATCATTTTTTTTCTTCTTACGTTGCACAACAAGAAGACATCGGTGGAGGCGGCCACTTTTTCTCTCTCTGGTACAAATAAATAAATAAAAAGCTTCTGTTCTGATATCACTTTTCTTCGGCTACTGTGTAAACTGATAAACTGAACGGATCGTCTGTTGTTACACAGCCTCGTGCAGCAGTAAACCTGTGATAAGCACAGAAATTTTCCGCTTAAGTTTTTGATTGGCCCTATTAAATATCCATCCTGCTAAATGTACGCCTTTTTTTTATTTTAAAACAAAACTACTATAGGGGGTGATAGGATGTTAAAAGAAAATGTGCTTCGAGAGATTAAAGATAAAATAAGGCAAAGAGAAGAAAATGGCACCAGTGTGTGTGAAGTTTTGTTTTATAAGATTGATGACTTAGATGACAACACACAATGGACTGCTACTGGAGGATTGGACTTTAATGAGGCAATAATTGATTTTTCATTATTGTATACTCAAAAAGAGTGTTTTAAAAATGATGTGAATTGTGTATGCTATATTGACATGAATTCAAAATGGAGATTGATTGCACTTTCCAATATGGAAGAGATGAAAGAATTGCTAAAAGAGGACTATAATTAATTTCGAAATAAAAAAGCAAGGAACAGATATACATGTAAAAAAAATGTACACCATTTCTATAGAGAGCGTCTAAAATCATCTCGCTCAGGTTAACGCAACCTTTATTTTGTTCCGTGCTTCTATGTTCTTTATTATTTTCTTTAATAAGTACAAATATACCATTTTACAAAA